TCCTCCATACTCTGAAGATGCAGTGCACACCTCACAATGGCTTAACACCACCCACCAGGCCACTAGCTGCCTCCAATGCCCAGACAGTGATACCAATCCCCACCCTCTGACACCCTGGGAGGAGCCTGTGCCCTGTACTTGCAGGACAGCTGAACTGCTCCATTTTACAGATGAAATAAAAAGAGGCTCCAGGGGCCAAATGACCCTGAGATCACACAGGGGTGTGATCAGTTCAAAACTAGGGCTTGCTGGCCTGAGAGTCCACATTCCATCCTGATTCCAGGATGTTCTGTGGCTGTGTGTTAGGCACAAAGCCCAGGGCTAGGTAACCAGAGGATGCAGAGGGGAACGGATGGGCTGGACACAGACAAACACCCACAATCACACACTCGACCCCAACCTGTGGGCGTGAGCACCACAGTAAAGGACAAAGTGCTGTGGCACCAGGGCAAGGTGATGGTCACCCCTCAGGGCCATACGCAAGGCTTCTTGGCAAGGGGTAGAGGGTGAGCCTTTAGTTCCTCCTCTCCTGAACCCCCAAAAGGAGCCCATGGAGTACCCAACAAGAATGCCCCCTAGGCCATCCTTGAGACTTGCTGGCCAAGCAAGGTAGACACTGTCCATCTCATCCACCTCCAATCCACAGAAGGCCACTGAGCCCAGGCTTCTTGCTAGCCCCCAGTCACAGCCCAGCATACAGAAGCTGGAACCACCCAAACTCCCACTTAGCCCCAGGCTCCCATTGCCCTCTGAAAAATCACCCAGTCACCTTCACTCCACCCCCAAGCACGATCCCAAAGGCAACACAACATTCCCACTCCAACATTCCCTGCCATAATCTGCCATCTGCCCTTGGAGCAACCACTCCACAGTAACTTTTTTTTTTTAAGAGACAGTGTCTCACTTTATCGCCCTCAGTAGAGTGCTATGGCATCACAGCTCACAGCAACCTCCAACTCCTGGGCTTAGGCAATTCTCTTGCCTCAGCCTCCCAAGTAGCTGGGACTACAGGAGCCCACCACGACACCCAACTACTTTTTTGTTGCAGTTTGACAGGGACCAGGCTCAAACCCACCACCCCCGGTATATGGGGTTGGCACTCTACCCACTGAGGCACAGGCACTCCTCCACAATAACTTTTATATAGCTAACACAGCTTGCCATGGGGCCAAGCACTCAATCTGCATTCTCTCGCTTAGTCCTTACACAACCAAGCAGGTAGGGGTTTCTAATGGCCCTACTTTGGACAAGAGGAGGCAGGAACTTAGAGGGTGGGTACCTTCCTGAGGTACACAGCAGGCAGGGCTGGGATTCTAGTCCCATCTATGTCCCACTATTTGAGCCCTTCTCTCTGAGCCTGTTTCCTTTCTTGTCAGGCCAAGAGGTAGGACACAACCTACTAGTGATCCCTAAGTTCCTTTCCAAAAACAGAAAATAAAAGAACATTTCTATAAACACACTCCATGGTCACAACCAGGCCCTGGAGACGTGACGCCCCACACAGGAATGCAGAAGCAGCACTTGATGACGGCCAAGGCCATGTGCCCACCACTTCTCCCTGCCCTTTGGGCATGGTTCCATGGGCTGTGAGGGGCATCACTAGCCAGCCCACCCACTCCTTTTCATCCCTGCTTCTCCTTGCTCCACACTGGCCCTCAGGACCTTCCAGAACCTTTCCAGGACCTCTTTCCCTGAGTGATTTCTCCCCATCTGAACGATCTCTCTCTTCTTCTCTGCCTCCTTCTACCCTCCACAGACAGAAGTTGACTGCCTGAGCCAAGCTCCGCTCAGTCCTAACCACAGTGAGTGCTCTGCCTACATCCATTCTCGATAAATCCCCTTAGTGGGCATCACACACTGGTCTTACAAATGTAGACACTACAGCCCAGAAATGCCACAGAGAAGCCCAACATCACAGCCCCTGAGTGGTCAAGCCAGGATCAGAACCCAGGACTGTGTGGCTCTAGGCCCATGCTCTTCCCAGGTACCAGGCACCTCTGTTTTGTGTTTTCAAGGGCAGTTTGAATTACAAGAGACAGGAGAAACCTTCTCTTTCTCCCTGAAATCTCTCTCCCTGTGCGCCAGGGGAGGGTAGAGCACCTGGACGCTTCTAACATCACCTTGGCCGTGGCTCATGGTGCTCCCAGACTGCTCCCCACCTGGCCCTGGTCTCAGAACTAGCTGCCTTGTCACTGAGCCCAGGGCCTGTAGGGTGAGACTGGGCAGAGATGAGGAGAGAAGGTGCTATGCCCCTGGGCTTGAGCAAGCAGGTGTTACAGGGATCCTGGCAGTTTGCTTTTCCAACAGAGTCCCAGGAGTGCTTTTTAAGAAGCCCAGCAGGGAGAGAAGAAAAGAGGTGAAGAAGACTCATTCCGGGAGGCCTCTATAACATTGCCCCAAATTTTCAGACGTGGAATGGTAAAGAGATAGTAACAACTGAGTCCCAAAGATACAACAGGGCAACCCAGAGGACCTGCCCAGGACCCTACAGGAGATTTCGGCAGAGGCTACACTAGAACCAGCCTCCTGGCTCCCACTCTTGCCTGTTTCTACTGGGCTCCCCTCCATGGCTTCCCCACCCAACCACTTGCTCAAGTCTCCCCCAACAGAGCCACTATCCCCAGAGTCAACAGGAGCAATGAGGAGGGACCGTTACAGTCCCCAAAGCCCAGCCCTCATGGTGGGAGCGTTCCTGGAACACAGAAGCCCACAGTTGTGTGGGGCCCACTTATCTCAGGGCAGCAGGTAAAAGGGAGTTGATTCAGCAAGCTGCAGACCCAGTAATTTTCTCATTTGTCTTGTCAACATCCTGTCCCACAGAGTGTCAAGTCCATTACGTAAAGATTTTCTGCTGGGAAGATACTTGAGAGTGAGTCTAGTAAGCAGCAGGGGCCAGGACTGAGGGGAGACCCTCTGGGCTTCAGCATGCAGGAGCAAGCCCAAGTCATTTATTACTGAAGGGAAACCCAATGGCACCTGTGCACGCTGCTCAGCTGGTCCTTAAGCTACCGGCAGTGTGGGACACGGGTACCCTGGGGGCTACTAGGGCATCCCCACCATAGCATCCACAGGCCACTGGCATCTTCCACCTACTTGTGAGCCCCAGAGCATGGCCACGAAAGGAATGGTCCCAGGTAGATTTCTACTTAAAACTCATCAGGAAATGTGAGGATTAGAACATCTGTGCTAGGCAGGACCTCAGTCAGCCCTATCTACTCCAGCCCTGCCAGATGGCCCGGACTTACCTTAGAGCCAGTGTGGCACCCACAGGCAGGGCCAGGATGGGAGCTTGCTGTGAGCCCAGTACCTCTGCAGTGTTCCCCTGGGGGTTGGGACAGTGAAAGTCCAGGACTGCCCATCTTTGAGATCTCTATCCACCACTACCCTACCCAAGGCCATGCCCAGACAGCCACCCTCCTGCCCACTCCTCACAGGGGCATTCATATCCCCCGTTCAATCTCTTAGAGCACGTACTTTCAACAGGAGGGGCAGGTGTCACCTCAAGGGAGCAAAAGTTGGTTCCTGAGTGAGCAAAAATTTAAAAAGTAGCTATTACAATAGTTTGTGGCCCTTCAAAACTTAGCCCTTTGTGATAAAACTGTATTCTTTGATATTTAATTTCTCTAGTTAGGAAGAATTAATTTTTCTCCTTAGAGGAATAGTAATTTAAAAGAAAACAGTTGAGAAACACTGTTCTAGAGAATTCTCCCTTTGGAAGGGCTTGAGAGTTTCGCTGAAAGCTCTTTCAGTTCACACAGTTCATAGCTGAGAGCAGTGGTTCTCAGTGCACAGAGACTGTGCCAGCCAAGGGCATATGGGCCACTATCTAGAGCAGTGGTTCTCAACCTTCCTAACACCACGATGTATTTTCATTGTTACAAAGGGATCACGACCCACAGGTTGAGAACCGCTGGTCTAGAAACAGTTTAGGTTGCCACAACTTCAAATAGTGCTCCAGGACAGCTCCCCCCACAAGAAAGAACTGCCCAAAACATCATTAGTGCTGCTATTGAGAAACTCTGTCTAGAGCAACAGAAACTTTAGAAGATTCCAAAGACTGCCACTACACAACTGCTTGTAAACCTGGGACATGTAAACAGAATCCGTGAGAACACCCCACTCCAGACCCCTGGAGCACCAATGGCAACTCCTGGAAGAGCTTACACACACCCTTGCAGAGAGTTCCAAGCCCAGAAGTCCCTTGCCTGTCCTCAAGAAGTGGGTGGGCTGCCCTGGGCCCACTCTCTCCCAAATCCCACAGGGAATGAAGCCAAGAAGAAAGAACCTCAAAACTCGTCTGGTTCCCACACATGGCCCTGGCAAACACAGCTAAAATGGCCTTTGTCACTCCCCAGGGTAGACCAGCATGGGGAGCCTCCTGAGGATAGGAGGAGCCGCCTGGGGACAGGACGTGCCTCCAGCAGACGCCTTCCTCAGTGCGGTAGGTAGGAAAACAGAGCCGTCAGGGGAGATGGAAAGCCCAGAGCAGAACAGATCGTGGTAAAACCAGTTAAGACCAGCAGTCACAGCTAATGTGGACTGAAGCTCATGAAACATGTGAGCACTTCATGACCCACTGACTGTTCAGACCTCACAACAATCCAGCCAGGTGGGACCTGTTACTCTCCCCATTTCCCAGCTAAGGAAACTGAGGCATGGGGAGGTCAGGTAACTTGACCAAGTGGAGGAACTCCAAAGCAGGAGAGCCAGGGAACCGGAAAGAAGGAGCAAGGACAAGAGATACAGGCGACATCAAGTTTCAGATTCAAGACCTACTCCGTGACAGTCACCTGGCCAGGTGACATCTGTGAACACCCTTCTCTATCAAGCGCCCGGTAAGGTAGGCATCAGGGTCTCCTTCTTTACATAGGAGGAACTGAAATAGTCAGGAACAAGCTAGAGAGGAGCAGAGCCAACACACACCCAGGTTGCCTGCATCTGTCTACCGTGTCACAGGGCCAAGAGGAGAACTGGTGGAGTCCCCGCGTGAGCCCTCTTACCTGAGAAGATCGAGGCATGCCTGAAAATGTCCGAGAGGCGGGAGGTCACAGGCTCGTAGGGTGAAGCTTCATAAAACTCTTCACCTGGAAGAGAGAACCAGCATGAGACACAGGCTCCTCCCGTGCAGACTGTTCCCAGCACTCAGCAAATCCGCCCGGGCAACCTGCCATGACAGGGGCTGGGCTGGTGCTGCCAAGGAGGTGAGAAATGGGGCAGCCCTCCCCCAAGTGAAAAGCGCTTGCCAGGGTGAGTAAGGAGGAAAGTGTTTAACATTTCATGCAGGATACCTCCGGCTAGGGAAGCTCCCCCTGGTCAGAACTGCCTAACACATCTCTCTCATGACCTCCTGTGTGGCCAGCCCTCTCTGAAGGACTTCCGGAGGCATCTGGAAGGAAGGCTTAGAGGAGGTAGATAATCCATGGTCCATGGGAGGCTGGGGATGAATCACAGGATTGGGAGCTAAAGAGCCTCCACCATCACCCAGTATAGCTTCCCCACTGAACAAGAGAGAGCTCCAAGGTGGCCCAGAGAGGTGAAGTGACCTGCCTGAGAAAACACAGCTACTCCAGGAGGCAGAGCTAGATCTGGTCTCCAGACCCTCACAGAAGTGTCCGTGCCCATCATAGCATGCCAGCTCTGCCCAGGTCAATAGGAGAACAGAATTTCCTCTTTGATTCCCATCACTTAGCCAGGGGTATCTTGCTAAAGGGGCTAAAAGTCTCTAAGCCCTCAGGCCCCATCCACCCTTCCCACATCTGCCAGCTCCTCAGACCTGTCTTTGGGACGTTGAAGAAAAACACAAATGAACAACAGGAGACAGATGGCCCCGGGCTGCCCTGGAGACCGCCATCACCTCATCAGGAATCTTGACACCCTATGACAATGCCTAAGCAGGAAAGGAAGTGCCCTCTGGAGAGGTTACTGGGGAGACAAAATCAAAGGCTGATCACTCAACCTGCATGTGTGTGGCAAGAGGGGTGGGGAGATAGGTGACCAGATCCTCAAACACTGATCTCCCATCCAGCCAGGGCCCAGGACCAAGGCAGGCACCCCCACCCAAGGGGAGCACAGATGCAGCAGCCTATGGGGGTGCTTGCAGTAAGGTGCCACTCTTCCAGAACGGGGAGGGGCCTGGGAGTCCTCCTGGAAGTGTCTCTTTCCTGTGGTCATGTTGACACCAGCAGCTAGCACTGGAGACTCAACTAGGCCCCTGCTGGCTCAGGGAACAAGGACTCTGTCTGCTATGCCCCACAGACACCCAGAAAATAGGACAGACCCCCAGAGGAACAGGAGGAAACACACTCTGCCTATGAGAAACAGCCCCCACCCTTTGGCCTTGCAAGTCCCCCCACCTCTGGCACCCACACTGAGGGCCAAGCTCCCTTTTACATTGGACTAATGTAAACACCACTCATTCACAGAGGCCTGTGTCCTTGCCACCTTCTCCCTGAGGCCTTCCGGCCCCATCACCAGCCTGGATGATCTCAGCATCCTCCACCCCACTGGCACTCAACTTAGCCTCTCTGGAGAAACTTCTCATGCTGGGGTTACCAGCCATTGCTACTTAGTGGGGCTGAATAATACAAGAATTTAGGAGTCACATTTGTAATAAAAATAATGCTGCCCCGTGCTTTCTATGTGGCGGCACTATTAGAAGTGCTATAGATACATTAACTCATTTCATCCTCTCAACTATTCTAGGAGATAGACACTACTATTCTCCCGGTTTGATTGACAAGAAAACAAGCAGCACAGAGATATTAAGTAACTTGCCTAAGGCTACACAGCTGGTAGGTGGCAGAGCCAGGATTCAAACCCAGGTAGTTGGCTACAGAGACCAACACTATGAATACTGTCCCTCAAAATAGAAAGTGTTACTGGAACCCTGTCATTCCTAATTAAGTGCTGTTGTTTCACCCTTCCCAAGATCTGTCTTCTCCTACTGCCTGGGTGTCCCCCTAAGGCAGGGCCTGGCCTTCGCTATTACACCTGAGTACAGAACAGCCAGTAACATGACTAAAGGGTCCTGGGGCAGAAAGGTACAGCCTCTTCCAAGGCCAGTTTGGGAGGGGCTCCTGCTCTTTAAGTTAACTTATGTGGCCTGCTCCTGCCCCAGAATTCACCAGTGGGAAATCCCAAGGTCTGGGCCACGGAAGCCAGACCCAGAATATCAGATTCTAGGAATGGAAAAAGGCCTCAGCTTTTCATGTTCAAAGGACCAGGGGACCTGAATTTTAGTGTCACCTCTGGAGAAGGCAAGAAACCTGGTCTCAAATCCCAATTCAGCTAACAGTGACAGCCCCACTATGTAAACCAGGCATCCTCAAACTACGGCCCGCCTAGGACATTTATCCAACCCTCTGGGTGTTTTTGCTGCGGCTGCCTGTCCTACTTAGCAATTGACTTGTCCCAGGGCCCACAGTCCAGCCCTCCAACAGTCTGAGGGACAGTGAAATGGCCCCCTGTTTAAAAAGTTTGAGGACCCCTGATTGTAAACACTGGCAATAGTAATGACAGAGGAAGAAGCCCCAGGCTGTGGCATCTTCACCTGGATAAAGAGCCAGGGGCCCTGTGCTCTGCCACTAGCTCACTATGAGGCATCTCTCCTCCCCATGCCTCAGTTTCCCTGCTGAAAGGAGAGTGGATCAGATAATCTCCAGGCCCCCTGCAGGTCAGCTCCAGGAGCTCAGCAGTCATATCCTCAGAGGCCATACCCCTCCCCAGTCCACTGCCACCACTGGCTCTGTGCACACACCAGGGCCTCTGCTGCACACTGTGCCCTAAGCCTTGGGAGGGGGAGAAGGTGGAGCAGAGCCCCACGGTGAATCACACTCACCAGCAGGGCCAAAGAGAAGCCAAGAATCAGAAGGAAAATCCTAACCTGCCCCACTCAACCCCAGGCCCAAGCTGGGCTATGAAGAGGAGTAAGTGCCTGCAGCCTCCCCCAGGGATCCCTGCTCAGCCCAGCAGTGAACACTAAACTCTCAGGGAGACCCTATCACTCACAGGAATATTACCTGCTATTCAAAGACCTCTTGGCTTCCCTATCAGCCCAGGGAAGAAACTACCTCTGGCCCCTAAGGCCCAGGAGAAAGTAGAATCCCCTGGGGAAAAAAGACTTCCACAGAAGGAAAAAGGGGGTGATTTTCTAGGTGGGGCCCAGGGGAGAGGTCTCCAGGCCTGTATTCTGGCCAACACAGGGATCAAATCTCCATCAGTGCCATCACCCTCTGAGGCACATAGTAGGTACTTAACAGGTGCAGTGTTTAACCCAGTAGGCATCTTTTGAGTAAATAAATGGACCATCTCAAGACTGGGAACCAGGGATAGCCCATGCAGTTAGGCATTCCTGGGTCAGAGAAAGGGTCTTGATGACCACACAGTGGTGTGCAGCTAAACACACATAACATCATGCTCATTCCTTGGGCTCACATCAGCACGGTCCTCCTGTGCCCTGATGCAGTGGTGCCAGAGGGACTCAAGGACACAGAAGGGCTTGTGCTAAGAGGCCCAGGTGCCCACCTGGATCTTCTATCTGACAGTTCTCCATCCCCTCCCTGCTTACCCTGCATCTGGCCACTCCACATCTGCCCACCCCACCCTGCTTCCCAGTCTCCATGAGTTGAAACTGAAGGCTACTAGAAAGAAGCCAGCTGCCCAGAGCAAGGATCAGGTGCTTTAATTTTCTGTAACCACAGAGTCAGGCTCTGGTACAGACAGGTCCCTTGTCTCTGCAGAATAAAGTGTGTGTGCTTTATGGCAGCAAAGTACTTCCTCTTCACTTACTCTAGTTCTAGGAATCGAGGTTGCTAGGGAGAAGTGACCACCTGATTGGTGAGGAATTACTTTGCCATCAGTGGTGTAGTAATGATATGCACTTCATTCCTATACGCCCATGCCCCATTTCCACCCCCCAGCTCCCATCACCTCTCTAACCTTCCTCCCCTGACCACCCTTAAATGTCAGTGCCCCTGGGCTCTGTCACTACCTTCCTCCCACTGTGGTCATGTCCTTAGCTCCAGTGACCCCCGACAGGCTAATATACACTTCTCCTTCTTTTTCTCCAGGCCTCCATCTCTCATCTGAGCTCCAGACCTGCAGGGTGTAGCCCACAAGGGGCACATGCCCCCAAACAGGCCATCCACTGCTTGCTCCTACTACCCTCCAAAACCTGGGCTGCTGCTCCTGATACACTCATCACCCACCCAGGTGCCCAAGACAGAAGGCTGGGTGCCCTCTGTGACTCCTACCCCCTTCACCTTCACTCAGTCACCACAGCCTGTGGAGTCTACCTCCTAAATAGCTTTCATACCATCTTCTCCCTTCCTGCCACTACCCTGGCTGTGCCATCACTGTTCCTGACCAGTGTCACAGCAGCAGCTTCTCAACAGTCCCCCAAGGGAACCAGAGAAACACCTTGCTAGAGCCTAAATCTGATCATCTCTCAGATGGGTCTCTCCACCCCATTCTATCCCACCTTCTGCCATGCTGAGCACCTGCCCTGCTTGGGGCCGCCTCCCATCTGCCCCTCCTGCTCCCTCTTGGGAGTCCTGCTCTCCATGTGACTTCTGGATCACATAGCTGGCCTAGGTACCTTTCACTGGTCCCATATCCCTTGACAAGCCCGCCTCCAAGACTCAAGGCAGAACCTGGAAGCCCCAGCCCCAGCCCATCCCCAGTGTGGAAGGTTTGCACATACCACCCTAGCCAGACACTGATCTATTTGTTCAACAAAGGTTTACTGTGAGTGTACTATGTGCTGGGTATGGAGACAGTGGGAACAAGCCAGTGCAGCCTCCTCCTTCATGGAGCTCATAGTTAGAGGGTGGGAGGTGCAGATGAGTGAGGAGGGCTTCTGTCATTTATGGTGTGACTACTATGACCGGGAAGCACAGGGTGCTGTGGTGGCAGTTTGGAGGGGCTCCCAAGTCCTTGTTACCAAATCTAAACAGCCCTCTTGGAAGAGGCAGGCTCCAAGCTGAGCATGAAGAGTGAGTCACTTACATAGATGAAGGGACACGGGGAAGAGTGGGGGCAGTGGAGAGAAGAGCACCGGCCCCAGCCCTGTGGAAGGTACCTAGACCAGCCATGGGTTCTGGAAGCCAGATCTAGGGGCATGGACGAGGAAGCAGCAAGGGCAGAGTTGGGGCAGCCATGGGGCAGGGCAGGGACTCCAGCTGTACCACCTCCCACCTGGCTCTCACCTCTCTGTCTTCCAGGTTTCTCTGACCTCACTCCCAGGTCCACTTCACACTGTCCTGACTTGCGTCACATCATCCTGCTCACTTCCCCATCCTCCAGCCTGTGTCCTCCTCCCATCACCTCCTCCCCATCTTCTAGCTGTCACCTCCACTAGTCTTCGTCTCTCTTGGCCTTCTCTTGGATGGGACAGCCACTTCCTCTGGGTTCTAGCTCCCCTGGAATCCCTTCCAGGAGAGGGATTGGCACAGGAGCTGGCCAGTTCACCCCATCGCCAAGCCCTCCAAGCTGGAGCCCCAGCCACACACTTAACCACCACCTGCCCGGCCCGGGCTTACCCTCAGTCAGCCCCAGGTGGATGCTCCAGTAGATCTGCAGGCACTGCAGTTCCCTCTTCATGCCCCGTTTGCAGCGGCAGTCGTATAGGGGGCTCTCCTGCAGGACCTCCAGGGCCGCCTGGCACTCCTTGTTAGCCAGCATGGTGTTGCGGTCCCGGCCCGCCAGGCACTGCCGCAACGTGCGGTACCGGGAGCTGCAGTTGGATTCGGCCGCGCACAGCTCATTGGCCCGGACACAGTCCACTGGGGGGCGCCAGCCATGGAGCTCCGGGCCCTGCAGGGAGGAAGGGCTGGCCAACGAGCGGAGGGTCTCGTCTGGGTGGTGGGGAGGGAAGACAAGCGTGAAAGAGGGCCGCCACAGTCTCCCACCCAAGACGCAGGCCTGCGGGCTGGGGCCCTTCTGGGAGCTTCACACCCATTTCACACCAAAGCACACCAGGACTAACTCAGTGGAACAGCCCTCCTCACACCCAAGCGAGAACTCAGCCTGTCACTCTCCCCTAGCTCCACCAGTGTCTTTTCTGCCCATCACTCCTCAGCACCAGCCTGGGCCTAGGAGCACAGCACCATATGGCCACAAAGGTGGTTCAAGACCACAGACAGTCTGGGACACCAGGAGCCTAGAGAAGAATGTCACAGCCTCAGCAGAGAGCGTGGGGTTGCAGGGCTTGCGGGGGGTGGGGGGGTCTAGAGGATCACACTTTAATGCCATCCAAGCCACCCAGGAACCCCAGCTCCAGCCAAGGCACCTCATTAGGCCTTGAAAGCGGTATAAGGTCATGTGACTTTCCAAGCCTGTCTGGACCTCATAGAGACTAACCACCGGGTCCAGCCCCACAGTTCACCCTAGGGAAAGTGAGGCCCAAAGAAGGAAGATGACAACTCCAGGTCACACACAGAGGTGGGAATGCCCCCCTGTGACCCATAGTCTAGTCATTCTGAGCCACCAGACTTTAAGAGAAGACAGGGAGAGACGAGCCCAGGAGAGAAGAGCTGCCCCTTTCTGGCCTCAGCACCCCAATACTACCATCCAGTCCAACTTTACACCTGAAGACTTCCCTTCTATGGGATAAGTTCCACCCAGTGCCCTCCAAAAGAAAATACCTTAGGGAAGACTGGTGAGCAGCTCCACATCCTCTGCTGTCTCTCCTGTCTCCATCTCTCATGTCTCTCTGCTGCCTGCCTCCCAAGAGGACTTTGCTCTTTGAATAGCCCTGTTCTCTCTCTCCCTCTCTCTCTGTTTCTCTCTTTCTCTCCTCCCCTGAAACCCTCTCCCTCCAACCCTGTCTCTCTTTTGTTTTTCTTCTTTCCAAAAGCCAAATAATGAATCAATTGCAAAAGGGGAAGAGTGCCCCTCCTGGGACCCTGGCCCTGCAGATGGAGCCTTGGCTTCCCCACAAACAGCACCTGCCAGCCCACCTACCTGCCCGCTGCCCTGTGCCCACACCCACAGCGCCGCCAAAGGGAGAGGTGGGGAAGAAGCCTGGGAGGTGAAGGACTGGGAGAGGCTCCCCTGATCCTCTCAGAGCCAAGCTCCCAGAATGGTTTCCTCCAAAGGTAGATATTTCCCCAGCCTCCTTATCGTCTCCTGAGCCCCTCACTCCAGATCCTGCCCCAGAAAAAGCCCACACCATGGCCCAGAGCCACGACGGCCCAGAGCCACGACTACCCACTTCCACGACCCTAAAAGTGATTTGGGAGGCATCCTCCACTCCATCTTGCCCCCAAACATCATAAATCCCAGGCCAGAAGACCCTTCCTCCGAATACTGCAGAATCCCCCCACCCCTGGCCAGAGCAGCCTCCCGCCCTCCCCTAGGACGCCTGCTCAGGAGGGCGCTAACACAGGGACACAGCGACATCTAGAGGCACCACGCTGCACAGCGGGCAAGCCCCAGGGAAAGGGATCCACTCCAGGTGGCACCAAGCAGGGGCCCACTCCTAGAAAGAAGACAGGAGAAGAGGAGCAGGGCTAGCCAGGAGCAGGCTTCAGGGGCCAGAGCAAAAGACATATCACCCTCCCACTGACCACACCAGTGCCCCAGAAGAGGAGGCTGAAGGATGTGGCCAGACTAGAGAAGAAAACAGCACAGAGGGGGAGGTCTGGCACCTGCTGGAGAGGTGTCCTCCATGCAAGCTGAGATAGCATCTTCCTTTCTCAGCTTCAGCAGATTCCTACCTCCCTGAACCAGGTGGATCTGAGCCCCCTAAGAACAGCTGAGCCAATGTAGCCCACCCTGCACCTGCTGCCCCCAGCTGGCCAGCCTGCCTGCTGCAGCCTTGGTGCCAGCATAGCCCTGGGCCTAACACTGACTTCACCTGGCATCCCACTGGGCTTCTCCCCTGCCACCTTGACTGAGCAGAGGGCTTTACTGTCAGAGGGGATGGGTATGGAACCTCCTACCATCATCAGCCATCTCAGGAGTCACAGTGTGCTTGAAGGCCAGGATGTTAGCCCTGAGGACACTCACTCAGTACTCTGCCTGCACTACAGGTGGGGCCTAGAGCCCGAGGGAATGATCTTACACTATCTTACACAGGCTTCCCTGCCAAAAGGGAAGGCTTCCCCCATCCCACCAACAGGCACCTGTTAACAGGGCAGTGACGTGCTCTGCAAAGGGCCAGGGCGTCCTTTCCCCAAACTGTCCTTGACTCTTATCGCCCAACTTGTGACCCTAGAACCAAACAGGCCCCTCCAGAGGAAGAAGTCATGGTGACTTGGAGCCTTTAGCCAAGATACTGAGAGTAAAGAGCCAAAAGTATCCTGGAGATGTCTCCTAATCCTAAATCAGGAGAAAATGGGGACCCATCAAGAACAGACATAGGGTACAGCTTCTAGGACATCAGGGGTAGGGAGAATGAGAGACGTCACAACTACGGCTGCCCTCCTGCATCCAGTGTCCCCACTGGAGCCAGAAAACTAGTTGGGAGTAGGTCCTCAACCAGCCTACCATCCCCTCCCAGTCACATTCCCCAGTTTTTTCTCTCTGTGGGTTAGCTGGGCAAAAAAGGTTCCTTCTCCATCAACTGGCCTATACCCCCAAACCTCACTCAGAACCTTGGGAAGGGCCCACCAAAGACCTTGCCCCCAGCTGAATTGCCTCCCCCTAGTCAGACTTCCACACAGCTTCTAGCCAGGAAAATGGCCTTGGAGTTTCCTTAACGCTGACCTAACCCTTCCTTCCGACTGGCCTAACCCACAGCCTCTTAGCCCAGCCTTAGAAAGGGGTTTTTCAAGGGAAGGGGCACGGAAAGTCCAAGCCCACTTCTCTCCTCCTCTCAACATTCAGCCTGCAGGGTCGCAGACACCGGGGGGGGGGATCTCTTACCCACCCAAGCAACAGGATGTCACACACACACACATATATACACCCACCATGACCAGGACCCCCAGTGTCACTTCTGAGGAGAAGAGATTCAAATCCTCAGCCTCCTGCACTGGAGGAACCAACCTGCAGCAGCAGGATCTGAGCCTGGAGGGGGAAAGGGGCCTGGGTTGCTCTCCTACACCCATGGCCCTCCAAAATGAAGGCGCCCACACCTGGGAGCCCTGCCGGCAGGGGGTGTGCAGCCAGCAGCCAGCAATCTGGCTGCTCTTCCTGAAATACAATATTCTTCTCTTCTTGGTGATGATCATTCTCAGCCCCAGAAAGCTGGGTTTTTTAAGCAGCAGTGGGAGAAAAGGTCAGGTTTTATAACAGCCCCTTTAGGTTGACAGTCCACTTGGTGCAGTTTTGGGGAAGGGCTGCAGATCACCACCAGCCCAGAGCACCAGCCAGCAGCAGGCTCAGCGCCTTCTACCCCAGAGAGAAGAAGCTGCCCCAGGCAGGACGGGTGGAAACCACACCCCAGGGCAAGGCCTTGACCCCTGGGGAACTTAGGCCTCAGAGGTGAGGAAAAGAACAGGGGAGGGGCCCCAGAGCCTGACCAGCATAGACACCCCATGACTCTAAATTTCCTATGGCAGCCTGGAGGGTGCTTCTCAGACCACACACATCTCTGTGACGGACTCCTACCTCCAGCTCTGGGCTTTCCCAGAGCCCCTTCAGCAGGACAGAGGGTGCACTCAGGACCCCACCAGGCAACCCAACTCGGCACTGGCCACATAGCTAGCCAAGGTGGCTGGAACAGCACCCCACACTGAAGCAGATGTGTGTTTCTCCAACACAAACACACACACACCTTAGTTACCAGGCCCCCTCCAGGAGCACCTACTCCCCGCCAGCAGCCTTGCCTGGTACTCAGGTCACCACACAGCCTGGCAAACACCCTCTTTTTCTCATCTTCCCCTAGAGATGTCTTCTCTAGACCCCAGCTTCCCTGGCAGCTGAGATTTCAAGTATCATACAAGGGGGTGAGGGGCTAGGAATTCTGTGTGGTAAAGAAACGTGGGGCTCAGCCCCGGCACCCCCTGCTGCCCTCCTCCCTGCCCTGGAGGGAGGGGGCTTACAGAAGGAGCCGTGGTCTTTGTTCGGATCCGTTTCCCTTCCCCGCCTCCCACCCTCTTCACCAGAGAAAGCAAACTTTGGCTTCCTTCCCTCCCCTTCCCATGAGCTACGGGGTCCCCGGTCCCCAGAGGTGGGAAGGGAAAGGCCGGAACGGCTGCTCACACCCTCCACGCCCGCCCACCCATCTGGCTCCGATCTGGGTGGCAGGCAGAGCAAAGGCTAGGGAAAAACTTGAAAAGTGTTCCAGCGAGTGGAGCCGCTGGGAAGGGCTCGGGAGTGGGGCCTTGGCCAGGCAGGCGGGGGTGACTGCCAGGGCTCTCCCGCACGTATCCAAGCGGGAGCCGCTGGAGAAGCCCATACCCTCCACGGCGAGCGACTCAGGGAGCCGACCCGGAAAGGTACAACTGGCAGGCTTTTTCTCTCGGCGCCACTGAGCCTCTTTCCTCCCTCCTCTTTCATATCAAGAGTTAGATGTTTTTTCTTAAGTTGCTGCAATTTGAACCCTTTCGTTTGAGGGAAATGAGTGCTATCATGGAGTGCCAGTGAGCGAGGGGTGTGTGTGTGTGTGTGTTCGCGCGCCCGCGCGCGCGCCTGTGCGCAAGGACGGTCTAGATGTGGCCAGTCCTCTTCCCAATTCCCCCACGTAGCCAGCCAGCCGCGGTTCGGGTCCCTCTGCCGGCGTCCTCGCCGCCCGGCCCGCTCAGCTCGCCAGCGCCGGGCCCGGCCCGCTCCGCAGCGCGCTCTCCCCGCCAGCCTCCCGCCGGCTCCCCACTCGCCCCCAGTCCCCAGCTCCTCGCCGGCGCCCAAGCGCGCGACCCCGCACCGCCCCCCAGGCTCGCTGCCCGCAGGTACTCACCTAAAAAGAAGAAGAGGCAGAAGGCGTTTGCCAAGATCATGTTAAATAAATCCCACAGGTTTTTTTGTCTTTATCCCTTGGGTAAAAAATAATAATAATAATAAACAATAATAATAGCCAAGCAGTGATAATCAGCCCCAAATCCAATGCGGAGATCCCAGCTAGTCCACCCGATGAAGATCCTGAGTCCTGTGATTCTCGCCTCTGGCTGGAGGGGGTGGGGTGGAAGGAGGGCGGTGGGCTGCCTCTCGATGCCCCCTGGCCCAACACAATCAAACAGACACGTAGCTGTGTTATCTGCTTCTAAGCCGACAGCCGGGTCCCGAGGTCAGCCCTCCCCTGCGCTGGTCCGGGAAGGCGCGAGTCCCCGCGGGTCCTACTCCTCTGCGCTCCCAGGAGGGGTCTGAGAGGCTAGGGGGAGAGGCGATTTGAGAAGGGTTGGAAGGAAGAGGCGAGGGAGGGGGTCAGAATAAAATGCAAACAGGAAAGAAATCCAACGACTGAGGGTTAGCGCCCAGGAATAATCCAGCCGGGAGCTTCGAGGACGACAAGACCAGAGTGTCTTCTTTCGCACCAAGACGAAGACAAGATTCAAAAAAATCTTCTCCCGCTAACCCCTGCTCGGCTCACTTTTTCTAATGGAATTCCAGTGACCGTGTGTCTCTGCGTGCGTGTGTCTTTCTCCCTCTCTGCCTCCCGCTCCTCTCCCTGCTCGCTCTTTGCTCTCGCTCTCTCCAGCTCTCCCTCGCTCTCCTCTCTCCCTCCCCTTCTCTCTCTCTCCCTGCTCCTCCCTCCGCCCGCCCCCTTCCCCCTTCGCGGCTCCCTCGCCGCGGCTCTCGCGCCCGCGCCCCTCTCCTCCGCCCGGGGCTCCGCGCTCGGTCTCCCGGGCGGCTGGCGGCGCGCGCGGCGGAGCAGCGACACTCTGCAGCGGCGGCGGCGGCGACTTAGCGGTGGCGGTGGCGCGGAGGAACGCGGGCCGAGGGGAGAGCTCCGCCGCCAGCTCCCTGGGCTCAGCTGCCTGCCCTTCCCTGGGCGGACCTGCTGCCTTGACAGGAAACTGGCTTCTGGACTAGGACTCTAGCACCAGCACTTTCCTCGTCTTCCCCACTCCCCCCCAACTACGCCCCCATCTTGAGGATGGGCTGTGCCCTCCAACCCCGGTTGCCCCCTGCCCCCTGGGCCTCCAAGTCTCTGGGAAACCAAGCTTGCAAGGCGCGGAGTCCCGAGAGCCATCCTGGGAGCGTGGGGGCAGGGCACTAGAAAGGCTCCGGCTCGGTAGCCCAGGTCTTGGAGGGAGCTGCACCCTCGAGGGCTGGGGCATCCCTTAGCTGGCGGGCCGAAGCCGACGGAGCGTCCCCCGCATGGTGCAGGGGTACAGAAAGACTCTCTCCGCCGCCAGCCCCCGAGCCCCCGCGCAGCCTGCCTGCCCGGCCTAGTACTGCGCGCACATACACGTGTGCTCTCCACGCCGAGCTCGAGAACTTTCCCTCACGCCGCGGCGGGTTCGTTCCCCCCCCGACGAGCCTTGCAGCCCTTGGAGACTCCCCTTCCGCAGTGTGTCTCCCTCCCCAGGCTGGGGAGAATGCTGCCGCGCTGGGGCGCGCAGACCGCATCCTCCGGGGCCGGCTAACGCGCCGGAATCGCGTCTGAGGGAGCGCCCCGAGACCGACCCAGGCGAGAGCTCCGCTGCTGGCTCGGCGGCGGGCTGGGCTCCCAGGAGCTCGTCCCGAAGCAGCTGGCAGCTCCGGGCTCCTGAGGCTACGGCTGGGGTCCTCTTCCCGCAGCCAGGAAGGGGGAGACTGATCCATCTGTCGGTGGGCCGGTCTTACCGGCGTGTTTTAGTCACGGAATTTACAATAAACGCCCAGAAAGACCAAAAAGGAAGCGTCTGGCTGGGAAAGGGCTGAAGGAGAGGTGAGGCTGTTGACACGTTCAGGCAAGAGGGACAGAGGCGGCGGGCCTGCGGACACTCTAGGGCACACACCCACGCACGCCGGGCACCCCAGCTTCACTCTCCCTTCTGACGCGTCTTCACCTACGCCGGAGTGCCCCGCAGCCCCCGGCTTTCACGCACACGCTACTTGCAGCTCCGCGCGCGCGCGCACACGATGTGCTGGGGTGGGGCACACGCAGTGCCTCGTAAACTTTCCGCGCTGCCCACGAGCGGATCAGGGCTGCACGTAAGGTGAATTGGGTAGTGCCTTTTAAGATGCATTTTTGAATAATAAGATTCTGGAATATAGTAAATGCTAGAGATCCACTTGAATGCGAAGAGCGGGGTCACGCTGAAAACCGGCAGCCTTAGCAATTTGGAAAGCTAGAGGGAGCAACTTCCATCTTGCGGGTTTAGGCGGGAACGGGGCTTCTCCGGGCCTTGGGAGCTCAGTGTGGGTGGGCTTCCAACACCTCTGTCATTGATCTTTCCTTTCCCATGTCCCCTGTATCCTCTCCCCCAGCCACAGAGCGGTGCCTACCAGAGCCATGGTCTTGGGTGGTGGAGCGTCTGGGCGGCAGGAGGGCCTAGGGAGCGGGATCTGGGAAAACTCCTTCTTGCTGCCCTCCCTGTCATTCCTCAGGCAGCTCCTTCTCATCTCATAAGGACTCCTAGCTTCTTTCTAAATATTGTGGAACTGGCTTCAGACTAGTATAGGTTAAAAGATGAAAACCAATAGTAGTTACACTACCACGAAGGGCCGAAACTGGGAGCATAAATGAACTTTTTCCCTGCTCTTTCTTCCAGGGTCTGCTAATACTTAACACCAGACATTTTGGTAACCCACGAAAGCTTTCCTTCTTCCAAAGACCTCAGTCCAGACTCCACAATTGCTGCTCAGTGCCTCCCTTTCCTCTCCCCAACAAAAAGGAAAAAAAAAATTCTTTTAACTCCATCTAAGCATAAACCCTTTGAACAATATAAAGGAGATTTGCCCTCTCCCCTCCCCTGTCCAGGGAAAGGGGCTGAGAATGGCCCCAATGAACCTGTAGGGATGGCTCCTGCTGTCAGAATCCCCCTAGCCCCCACTCAGGGAAAGCCATCCCTGCAGGTTCATTGTTGTGGCTGCAGGGCACTCTGACCTTGGGCCCTCCTTTCTCATCTATACAAACTTCTCCCACTACACCCCACCCTGTGCAAGCCCAAGTGGTCAAGCTGCACTGCTCTTAGAAATGGCTTTGTCCATGTATCATACCGTTTTTTCTGAGCATCCACTACATGTGACACCCCCCCCCATTGTGCTGAGATCTGCACAGGAAACACAGATAAACAGGTACTAGTCAAGAGCAACTTAATCTCTTTGAACCTCAGTTATCTCACCTATAAAATGGGCATTTTTTTACAGTTTTTGGCTGAGGCTGGATTTGAAACTGCCACCTCCAGCGTATGGGACTGGCGCCCTACCCTTTTGAGCCACAGGTGCCGCCCTAAAATGGCCATTTTTAAAACCCTAACTTTATGGAAATTAAATGAGATACTATACACAAATCAGTAAAATGCCTGGCTTATAGAAAGTTGTTCATCTCTTTCCTCTGGGATCCGAAGAAGAATTAGGGTTGTATGACAAGACAATAAAACCTAAGTGGCAAATGAGAAGCAGAGATAAAAAGCTAAGAGGGTTCAAGGGAAACAGAGACTTCTTTCCAGAAGACAGAAGATAGAAACAGATCTTGCAAGAGAGTGCTGGGGAAAGGTGACATCTCTCAGCAGTTGGAAACACAGCCCTTAGGCTCACTGAGACACAGCCACACACCTTGGGGTGTCTGTGTCCTTCCTAGATCCTCCATGGCACATCCCAGTTGCTCCTGAAGAGCCTCTCACCATCACAAATCCTGGAGTCATAATGTGTAGGTAGGTAGAGGGAAAGAGAATACTTAGGCTTTGAACTTCTTCCCTCCCTCTCATCTTCCCCTCTTCCCTGTCTTGTGGATTCTCTGGAGGACAGGGAGATGGAGCAGCAGGGGAGAGAAGGAACAGTGGAGGGGAGGGGGGTTGCAACCCCACCCCAACACATGTGCATGTGCACCTGGCCTTAGCCACATGGCTCAATGACCAGAATCCCATGTCCTCCTCTCCTTTAGTGAAGAAAAGAAGCCTGAAAGCTCCCTGGCCTCAGATAAAAATCAGCCAGGAGTGAAAAGAAAAAGGTGACTAACATCCAGCTGAAATGAGTCAGAAGCCACAGAACTGGCCAAGTGAAGGTGCCCCCAGCCCTGGGACAGCAGCCTGACCCAGGGCACCTCACAATTGATCAACCAGCACAAGCTTTTTGAATGTCTTCTGTGTCCCCAGCACAGTGCTAAGAGCCATGGGGAGCACAGCAAAACAGCCCCTGCCGAGGCAGAAATCATAGATAGTCATGTACCCATGGAAAGGTAATGGACAACCCAAAGGCTCATAGGCAAGAAAGAAAGGGTCTCTGCCACTGGATTTCAGAAGCGCTGTCAGGGAGGACTTGCCAGGGGAGGTGAGAGTCAAGCTGGAGCTGGAAGGATGGGTAGAATTGGGCTAAGCACAGAGGGGGACACTCCCCGCAAGAGAACAGCAAAGGCAAGGGCACCATGGTAAGAAGGATACAAGGAATAGTCCAACTATGGGAGGAACTGAGGGCACAGGTGGGAAGGGCCATAATGGAGAAGATTTAGAAGGTCCAGTTATATCCCACCCCAGTGCAGGACCAAGCCTTGCAGACTTTGGACTTGCACCCCAGGAGCCTCTCAAGATTTTTGAGCAGGCAAGTGACATAATGAGAATAGTGTTTGAGGGAGATTGGTCTGACAACTGTGTAAAAGATGGAGACCAGAGACCAATTAGGAGGCTATTGCAACAGTTTCAGCCCCAGGTAATGAGGGCTCAGAAAGGGAGGTGGTGGTGGGCGTGGACAGGCAGAAAGACTGTCAGAGGCCTTGTAAAGATAAATCAGCAAGATGTTAGTGACCGAAGGAACAAAGGGAGAGTGGCCAAGCCAGGATAAAGTGAACAGACTGACTCTTCAGGCTTTGTCATTGGAAAAAAATAATTATGGTAGCCACCTTTATGGCACAACGCATGTTATTTTTTACCCTTTTAATTTTTTTATTGAATCATAGCTGTGTACATTAATGCATTTATGGGGTACAATGTGCTGATTTTATATACAATTTGGAATGCTTACATCAAACTGGTTAACATAGTCCTCACTTCACTTAATTATTTTGTTAAGACATTTATACTCTACTCTTAATAAATCTGACATGTACCCTTGCAATATGCACCATAGGTGAGGTTCCATTGACGACGCATGTTAATATTCCTTTCATTCTTATAACTTTATGGCCTAGCTACTATTATGGCCCCACTTTATAAATGCAGAGGCGAGAAAAGTTGTTTAACTTGCCTGAGGTCATATTTTAAGTGGCAGAACCCAGGCAGTCGAGATCCAGGGTCCTGCACTGGTGAGTTCTGTGCCCTAAATAAATATTAATTTAAAAAGTGACTGCTCTCCAGGCCTATAAATTTTCATGTCTCCATTCAAAACACCTGAGATACTCCCTTTCTCCTTGCTTTGTACAGCAATGGTGTGAAGAAATTATGAGAATAGAGTTTTTTTTTAATCTTTCCTATGACCTTATCTAGTCTAACCCTTAGAGTTCAGGAAGGATTCCATCAGACATGGGGAAGCTCCACTGTGCCCAGCTCAACACCCTGGGCCTGAATCATCCCTGGGCTTG